ATTTTTCCTATTCAGGGCTTTTGACTTACTTCATAGGCAATGATCTAACTATCCAAAGTATAAGCCGAGAGCCTCTAGTTATTGATAATCTACTGACATTAACTATGCCATAGAAGCTTGAAAAGAGGCTCCTACATTATTTCCTCTCAATGTTATAACTAGAGCAATGTCTAGGCGCCTCAAAATCCTTTAAACAACTGAAGTCCTAAGTGAAGGCGAAGATTTAGGTCTCGATTTATTGTTCAGCCGATCCTTACAAACCCGGATCTTCAATCTGAAATTTTCCTAGATCGGCCCTTTTCAAGATTCTGATATTAAAATGCTATCGAAAGAAGATTTAATAAGGGATCAGTTCCTTGACCATCCCTAGAGAAATTACAGAGATTAGCTATTACAGAAAGACGACGCCCAAGACCTGGACAATTGTTACTATCTTGCTAATGGTATATTAATGAGAAAGGAAAAGTCTCTTGTCTTCCGACGATCATCTGTCTACCAGCAAAATCTAGTAGTTTCTACCTAGCACCTTTAGAGAACTGGCTTTAGTTTTCGCCCCCCATAGTCCCATGGGAGGGGCATTTGGGGGTAAAGAAAACGCTGGGCAAAATAGCCAAGCATTTTCATTGCCCAAGAATGAAGGAGACTGTGGAAAGCTATCTAAAAAGTTGTCAAGTCCCGCCAAGTGACCGGCAAACCTTCGCACCCACCTCCACCAGTTCCCCTCATTCCGATTCCCGTCAGTGGTGGCCCTTCTCACGCCTGATAATAGATTGTGTTGGTCCGTTGCCCAAGACTAAACAAGGGAATCAAAAATCTGTTTACAATTATGGGTGCCCTTACTCGATATCCAGAGGCTACCCTTTGGAAAAATTAAAATTTTCGGGATCATTGTCGAGCTTTGCAAAAAAAATTTTCTCACAGGTGGGGATTTCCCCCAATAATTCAATCCGATCAAGGTTCAAATTTACCTCTGAATGTTTCGTGATGCCTTTTCTCGCCTCGGAATTAAGTCCGTATTTTCTGTTGCTTATCACCCTCAGTCGCAAGGAGCCCTCGAACGATTTCATCAAACATTAAAATCAATGACGAAAGCATACTGCGAGCAGTTTTTCCAGAGATTGGGACGAAGGAATACCATTCCTCTTGTTCCCCTTAAGGGAAGCGAACAAGAAAGCACGGGGTTTAGTCCATTTGACTTAATTCATGGACACCAAGTACGCGGCCCCCTCGCCGTACTAAAAGATTCATGGACCGGAAAATCCGAACCCTCGTTTAAAACAACTCCAACTCTAATGCAAAAGCTTTTTGCACAACTGAGGGAATTAGCCTCAAAAACTAGTGAAGGTCCAATCCAAGATGAAGCATTGTTATGACAAACACACACGCTCTAGTTTCTTCAAACCGGGTGACAGTGTGATGGCACAGAAATCTTACCTGGACACGCTCTGCAACCTAGGTACGAAGGTCCTTTGGAAGTGATTGAGCGGCTCATTGAGGTAAATTATGTACACAAACCCCAAAGGAAAGAGAAAAGCCAAACGTACTTATCACATAAACTAACTTAAGGCTTCCCCACCCTAGTATCGTACCAGTTATGACAGTTCTTCCTTTAGCTGAAACTGAAATGTAAGTCTGCCCACATCTCTAAAGCGATAGAAGTACTTTTAAAAAAATTCAGAGACATTGCAATCTCTTGATACCTTTCTTATGGACCTTGATTTGAAAGAATGCAAAAGATATAAAAGCTTGATATTACGTTATAAAGGTTTTATTCGATGATGTCCCTAGGTGTTTTTACTTTGGGAATTCACGACATAGATGTACAAGGAGCAAAGCCTTGCAAACAGTCACCTTTACAAGGAAAGTCCACTCAAACAAGAAACATTAAACAAAGAAGTAGAATTTTTGTTGTCCCATGGACTATAGAACGGAGTAAAAGTCCGTGGGCCTCGCCCTGTAAATTAGTTCCCAAGCCAGATGGAACTTCTAGAATGTGCACTGATTATCGTAAGGTTAATGCTCTCACGGTACCAGATGGTTTCCCACTACCCCGAAATTGATGATCTAATAGACAGAGTATCAGGAGCCACCTATGTCACCCGCCTGGATTTATTAAGGGGCTATTACCAAGTGCCGCTTACCCAGCGAGCCCAACAAATATCCGCATTTACTATACAAGGAGGATTATTCAATTATCGTGTTATGCCCTTCGGTTTGTGTAACGCGGCCCCTTTTCCCTTTTCAGCCCTGATGAACCTGCTGACCAATGATTTAGGAGGGGATGCATATCTAGATGAACTTGTTATATATAGCAATGAGTGGGAGTAACTTTTAATTCGCCTGGAAACCTTATTTAAGAAGTTAGAAAAGTACAACTTCACCATAAATTTAGCCAAGTGTCAGTTTGGACAAGCCAAGATTAAATACCTCGGTTTTTTTTGTATAGGTCAAGGTGAAGTAGGTCCTGTTGATGTAAAAGTTAGAGCCATTGCCGAGTTTCCTATCCCAAGATAGAAAGTCTATACAGAGGTTCCTTGGAATGACTGGTTATTATCGATGTTACTGTCCTAATTTTTTCTCAGGTTGCATCTCCTCTTACTGAGTTAATCAGTAGTAAAAATGAAGTTTTGCTGGACGAAAGTTTGTGAGATAGCTTTTAATTGGTTGAAGCGGTTGCTTTCTTCGTCACCCGTATTGAAAAGTTCTGACTTAATCAACCCTTCTATTTACACATCGATGCCAGCGGTTTATGCTGTGGGGGCGGTGTTACTTCAGAAATCCCCCTTACTGTATTTTGCATCCTATATCTTATTTTTCTTCAAAGTTAAACGTCACAAAAGAATTACGCCACTGTAGAGAAAGAAGCTCTTGCCCTAGAAATATCTTGGAACATTTTGACATTTATCTGGGAACCTCCCCCCATAAAATTATGGTATTTTCGGATCACAACCCTTTAAATTTATAAATTTCTATGAAATCAAAGAACACCCGAATCCTCAGGTGGGCTCTGAGGATCCAACCTTATCTGATTAGTATTCAACACTTAAGGGGGAACCCTTAACAAATTGCTGATGCCCTTTCTCGCCCCTAAAAAAAAAAATGTATACCTTAAAATGTAAATTTAAAGAAATAAATACTCTTAGAGCCTAATTTATATATATATTATAATTTTTGTTAATGATTTTCTTTTAAATTGACAGTATGACTATGAAAGCCGTTTCGTTAAAGGGGGCCCGAAGTATTAAAGTCCACAGGGATGACCCTGACAGTCATGTCCGAGACTCCTATTCTCGAATTATGATGGAAGCCACTCCAGATAGTTTTCTTCCGGCCATTGTTCCAAAAGCTCATCCTCTGGCAAATAACCATGCTGATCGAGTTATTTCTTCTCCATTCTTCCGTCATACTACATGGCCTTATTTACCAAGAGGACGCTTACTATAAAGGAGATATTACCAAGGATGCTTGCAAACTCCCTACTGCGACCTATTGTCGTACGGGGGAGGGGGGTGTTATATCTTCGAAATTGGTCATCCTGTGTTATTTAACTATTGTAAGAGAATATGTTCATCACTTAATATTATAGCACGAAAGTCCCCGTTTTAAATAGCTAAATAGAGACTTTCGGCGTTATATATTATCTGTTAATATATGAAAAATACCATGGTATTATCACTATTATCACTATTATCACTATTATCACTATTATCGCTATTATCACTATTATTTTACTATTATTGTTAGGTAGGATTTCTTGGGTATATTAGAGTAGAATTTAAGTTCGGAACTATCCGGTGAATTGTTCATTGTTTATGTCCGGCTGGCTGACGTGGGTCAGCTGACCCAAACCCTGACGACAGTCAACAGACTGGTAAGTAGTCGTCTGCTCCTGCTCAAGCCCTGACAACTGATGTAAATTGGCTCTTAGGGTGTACAGTTGAATGGTTTTTGAGAATTGGACTCAAGAGCTGCCCTCCTTTTTTCCCTCATTGCTTTGAAAGACTCTTTTGAATTTTAGCTTGGTCAGTTCAGTAATCCATAGAGATACTTTAGGGCCAAATTCAAAGGTCTTGTTAAATCTGTACCTTTTGTATTTTGAGTTTAGTCTTGTTAAGACAAAGACGTAAATGTTATTGAAGACTGAATTACAGGAAGAATAATTAAATTTCCCTTATTAATGTGACATTTCCATGTTTTGAACAAAATGTATATGGAAAATTTTTATTGTACAAAGAAATTAAGTACATTAACTACAAAGATGAAGAAAAAGTATTGATTTAAATATTTTAAAATAAATTTGAATATTATTCTTGGAGTTTCCCAGTTGAAATAATTTTTCCCTAGACTCTAAAACTTTAAATAACTCGGATCCAAAAATCTTGTTGCATAAGAAATGAATGGTAACAGGCCACATTCTGAAGTTCTTTAAAAAATTTCTTATTCGCAACAGAATGCCAAACGTTGGCCATCCCAGATATAAATTCTTTGGACGCATGCTTCAATTTTCATTCGATTTTCTTAATTCCTTGCTTTATTTCTTAAACAGAATGAATTTGCTAATAGGGTGACCAACTCCTCTTCTCTGTAAGTCTATCTTGTAACCCAACTATTTATGCGTTTTGTGATTGATTTATTTTCTCAACAGGAAATATTTTACGGGACTTTCCCAGCTGGATCAACACTTTGGGAAATATTATATTGGCAGCCATAACCACCCTCTATCTGGCCTCCCTAACGTTAGACTCCACTCAGGTAGTAGTAGTAGAAGTATTAGTAGTAGTAGTAGTAGTAGTGAGACTTTTGAGATTAATTTAATCTCGAAGGGATGAAGTAGTAAATCTATCTCCACCCCCTTCCATCCCACGTCCCACATGATATATATTATATATATATATATATATATATAATATATATATATATATATATAAAATTTTTAAATATATATATATATATATATGACCAACATATATCACAAAAAAACAACATACACACACACTCACCTCTCCAAGTGAGTTCCTGTATCGTTCCAGCCAAAACTTTTCTACGTGATCACTCACAAGACCAACCATATATTTCTGGAATAAATTCATCACTCTTAAATACGGGTAGGAAAAAGCTTGATGGCGTTCAGCTTCAGTGACAGAGCTGTGGGACAAATAAAAAAAATATGTAGATTATTATTATTATAATCAAGGAGGAAGCGCAAACCCGGAGGATTATACAGCGCCTGGGGGGGGGGATGTGGAAAAGGGATTCAGGCTTAATTCGGGAACTGGAGCACAGATCCAATTCCCTAAATCAAGAGCCCCCACCAAAAATCAAGGAACCTTCCTTGAGGGGAAAAAAAATGTAAATCAAATTTAATAAGACGTGCATTCATACCTTTGTAAATACGAATAAATTACTGGGTATTAAACCCAAAGGGATATTAAATATTAAGGGATTACCTCTCTAGTGTCTCAGGAACTTTCATGTCAAGTGGCATGGAAGTGAAGCTATCCTCCCCCCTATTTATATCAAACCGATTACTCCCATTTCTGGCCGTTATGGCTCTTTACAGGTTTAATGCATCCTTATGCATATAAAAATAATTTTAAATTCCTTTTCTAATAATCAAATTCCAATATTTACCTCTCAACCTAATTTTATTTTCTAATCAATGACACGTACCAACCAAAGTTAATTTTTTTAATTAGTTTTTTTCTTTGACTAATTATCAGCCGTTTAGAAGCATAAAGAAATATGAAGCATACATGAATATTCTCCCGTCGGAGTTTTCTTCACATTAATATCTGGGTTCTCCAGTGATCATGATGTTAGTCATTACACCAGTCAAGTAGTACCTGTAGTGGTCGTACAGAACCAGTAATGATCAGTGGATCAAATTAAATGTCATAACTTCAGTACCATTAAGATAACGAACTGTTAAGTTTGTGATGCAGAAGCCCAAGTGTTAGTTATTATAGCCTAACTGAAAACCATTTTTTTTTATTTTTACTAAGGAAGTGGGAACAAGGGGATGCACCCTCGTGAGTGAAATCTCAAAAATAATACGAAAATTTAGCTAAAATACCTATCAAGAATGGATTCTTGATGCTGGTGTAAAGTTTTTCATTTGTCAGATCAAGCCTGATTGCCTTTCATTTTCCAGGCGGCATATGACCCCTACGGGTTTACCGCTTTTCCTTAACAATATTAGTAATTGACTAAAATACGAAGCATAAGTAGATCTTAAAATATTTTTTTTTAAACCAGAAACCAAAGACCAGCAGTCAACTAGAGAATCAAAGGAGAGCAGAAGAGACTCCCGGGAAAAAGACGACTCCTCTGAAGTAAGGGTAAGCTTAGTAGACCTGAGGAGTCTGGCCATCTTGTCGAGGTGTGTAGCAACGGTGGTCCAGACGATGTAATGGCTCTCGTGTTTGAGGTAGGCCACGAGGGAGAGTACAGTGTCATAGGGCAGGTTTTTCCCCGCGCTAGCTAGGTTAAATGCATCGTCCAGTAAGCTAGCGCGATCAGTCACGTCGAGAGCCTGGGGAGGGGGCAAAGTAGGTGGTCAGAATGATGGAGTGCAGCGATATTGGAGTGGTGGTTATTAGTGGTGACTTTCTGATGGATGGTGGTGGTAATGGATGGCTGGCTGTGGGGTAGTGGTAATAGTTGGTGGTAGTGGTATTAGTTGGTGGTAGCGGTAATAGTTGGTGATGTGGTAATAGTTGGGTGGGGGTATTAGTTGGTGGTAAGTGGTAATAGTTGGTGATATGGTAATAGTTGGTGGTAGTGGTATTAAGTTGGTGGTAGTGGTAATAGTTGGTGATAGTGGTAATAGTTGGTGAAAGTGGTAATAGTTGGTGGTAGTGGTATTAGTTTGGTTTTTGTGGTAACAGTTAGTGGGACTGATAATATTTTTAGTGGTAACTGAGACAGCTAGTAAGGGGGCTGATAGTTGGCGATAATGGTGGTTTGGTGGTGATATTTATGATTAATGTGGTGGTGATGATTGATGGTGGTAAATGGTGGTGGTGGTTAACCAATATTTTTGTGGTAATGTGATGGCTGGTGATGATACTGGGAGTTATTGGAGGTAATAGTGATGTTTAGTGGCAGTAATGACGGCTAGAGTTGGTATTGATGGCTGGTCAATGTAATAATTATGATTTGTGATTGTCGGGATTATCAATGGTAGTGATTGTTGTTGGTTGTGATGGTTATTAGTGGTGATGGTTATTAGTGGTGATGATTGCTGGTGGTGGTGGTGATGATTACTGCTAGTGATGTTTTGTGTGTGTGTGTGTGTGTGTGTGTGTACTCACCTATTTGCGGTTGCAGGGGTCGAGTCACAGCTCCTGGCCCCGCCTCTTCGCTGATTGCTACTAGGTCCTCTCTCTGCCTCAAGAGCTTTATCATACCTCGCCTTAAAACTATGTATGGTTCCCGCCTCCACTACGTCACTTTCTAGGCTATTCCACGGCCTGACAACTCCATGACTGAAGAAATACTTCCTAACATCCCTTTGATTCATCTGAGTCTTCAACTTCCAATTGTGACCTCTTGTGTCTGTGTCCCATCTCTGGAACATCCCGTCTTTGTCCACCTTGTCTATTCCGCGCAGTATTTTATATGTCGTTATCATGTCTCCCCTGACCCTCCTGTCCTCCAGTGTCGTCAGGGGCCCATTTCCCTCAACCTTTCTTTGTAGGACAATCCCCGTAGCTCTGGACTAGTCTTGTTGCAAACCTTTCCATTTTCTCTAATTTCTTGACGTGCTTGACTAGGTGTGGATCCCAAACTGGGCTGCATACTCCAGTATGGGCCTGACGTAAATGGTATACAGATTTTTGAACGAAACCTTAATGAGGTATCGGAACGCTATCCGTAGGTTTTGCCAAAGGGGCCCGTATGCTGCAGCGTTATCTGATTGATGTGCGCCTCAGGAGATATGCTCGGTGTTATACTCACCCTCAGATCTTTTTCCTTGAGTGAGGTTTGCAGTCTTTGGCCATCTAAACTATAATGTGTCTGCGGTCTTCTTTGCCCTTCCCCAATCTTCATGACTTCGCATTTGGCAGGGTTAAACTCAAAGGGGCCCGTTTTTTGGACCAGGCTTGTAGCCCGTCCAGGTCTCTTTGTAGACCTGCCTGATCCTCATCCGATTTGATTAACTTCACATCATCTGCAAACAAGGCACTTCGAGTCTATCCCCTTTCCCTTATGTCGTTCACATATACCCAAAAACAGCACAGGTCCTAGGGCTGGGCCCCTGTGGAACCCCCTTGTCAACAGGCGCCCACTTTTGCACCTCGTCACGTACCATGACTCGTTGTTGCCTCCCTGTCAGGTATTCTCTGATCCATTGCAGTGCCTTTCCTGTTATGTGTGCCTGATCCTCTAGCTTTTGCAGTAACCTCTTGTGAGGAACTGTGTCGAAGGCCTTCTTTCAGTCCAAAAAAATGCAGTCGATCCACCCTCTCTCTCTTGTCTTACTTCTGTCACCTTGTCATAAAACTCAGTAGGTTTGTGACACAGGGTTTTCCTTCCCTGAAACCGTGCTGGTTGTCAATTATACACTTGTTTCTTTCCCGGTGCTCCACCACTCCCTCCTGATGATCTTCTCCAATGACCTTGCATACTCTACACGTTAGTGATACAGGTCTGTAGTTCAGTTTCCTCATGTCTGTCTTCCTTTTTAAAAATTGGGACTACATTTGCCATCTTCATACCTAAGGGGGTTGCCCAGTTTCAAATGAATGTGTTGAAGATCTTTGTTAATGGCACACACAGTATCTCTGCTCCCTCTTTAAGGACCCACGGAGAGATGTTGTCTGGTCCCACCGCCTTTTTAGGTGTCAAGTTCGCATAGCAGCTTCTTCACCTCCCCCTGGTTATATGTACCTCATCCCGCACTTGCTGGTGTACCCCCCTGTTCTGATTTCCCGGAGTCCTAATGGTTTCCACTGTAAATACTTCTTTAATCTCGTGTTGAGCTCCTGACATACCTTTGGTCGTTTCTTGTGAACTCCCTATCACCCTTCCTCAGTCTGATTACCTGGTCCTTGACTGTTTTTTTCCCCCTGATGTGGCTGTACAACGCTTTTCGGGTCAGTGATGACTTTCGATGCTATTTTCATTTTCATATTGTTGCTGAGCCTCCCTTTTTATCTGTGGGATATCCGTTTCTGGCTCTTCGGCTAATCTCTTATTTTCCTTAGTTCTCTGTCTTCTGTACCTTTTCCATTCTCTAGTACACCTAGTTTTTTTCCCCCCTACACCTTTGGGTGAACCAAGGACTCGTTCTGTTTTTCCATTATTTCTGTTTTCCCTTGGGAACAAACCTTTCTTCTGCCTCCTTACATTTTGTTGCCACATAGTCCATTATTTCTTGTACTGGTTTCCCTTCAGTTCCCTCTCCCCCTGAATGTCTTGAAGGAAGTTCCTCATGCCTGAGTAGTTCCCCCTTTTGTAGTTGGTTTTTCCCAACCTATTCCTGCTATTCTCTCCACTTGGAGCTCAACTATGTAGTCGAAACACAGAACCCCCATGATCTCTAGCTCCCAGGGGCCTTTCATACATGATATCCTCGATGTCCGAAACTACTCAAGGGGAATACAAGGTCCATCTTGCTGGTTCATCCTCTCCTCTCTCTCTGGTAGTGTCTCTAACATGTTGATACATGAGGTTTTCCAGTACCACATCCATTATCTTGGCACTCCATGTTTCGGGACCCCCATGGGGCTCCAGGTTTTCCCAGTCAATCTCCTTGTGATTGAAATCACCCATAACTAGTAACTTTGCTCCTCCCATGTGTGCTCTCCTGGCTACCTCGGCTAGTGTGTCGACCATTACTCTGTTGCTTTCATCGTATTCTTCTCTTGGCCTCCAGCAGTTCTGTGGTGGGCTGTACATTACTGCAATTATCACCTTATGTCCCACAGACTGGATTGTTCGTACTAAGTAGTCCCTTTCGCCCGTGCCATCCATTCCTTACATTTTCTCAAACCCCCACTGGCTTTTAATGAGCAGTGCAACTCCTCCCTCCCCCCTCTCCTCCCTCTGTCTTTCCTGAGGATTTGATATCCGGATGGAAAGATTGAATCTGTTATTAATTCTGGTGAGTTTTGTTTTCTGTAAGTGCTATTATGTCTGGTGATGTCTCTGATTTCTTTCATGCCACTCCCCATACTTATTTGTTATTCCATCTGCATTTGTATACCACACCTTCAACTTCTTTTCTAAGACTGTGGTCTGGGAGGTATATTGGGGTTGGGGAAGTGGGAGACCTGATAAGGAACTATGGGTGGTTGCTGTGGGAGTGGAGTTTGTAATGCAGTGGGTGGGGGCATTGGATGTGGCATGGGTATTTTGGTTTAGAGTGTTTGGTTGCACTGGGGTTGACCTGGTTGGGAGGCTTGTATAGGAAGTTGTGAGGGAGGCTGTATTTGATCTTCTTCCTGGGTCTGGGATCTCACACACACACACAGTAAGTGTAAGGTCATGAATATTGGGGAAGGACACAGAAGGCCGCATACGGAGTACAGGTGTGTGTGTGTGTGTATTCACCTATATGTACTCGCCTATATGTGGCTGCAGGGGTCGAGTCATAGCTCCTGGCCCCGCCTCTTCACTGGTCGATACTAATTCACTCTCTCCCTGCTCCATGATCTTTGTCATACCTCTTCTTAAAGCTATTTGTGGAACTTGCTTTCCACTACTTCACTCTCCAGATTATTCCAGTTCCTGACAACTCTAAGACTAAAAAAATACTTCCTAACATCCCTATGACTCATCTGGGTTTTCAGCTTCCAATTGTGTCCCCTTGTTTCTGTATCCCGTCTCCGAAACATTCGATCATTGTCCACCTTGTCAATGCCTCTCAGTATTTTATACGTTGTTATCATGTCCCCTCTATCCCTCCTATCCTCTAGTGTCATCAGGTTGAGTTCCCTTAACCTCTCCTCATAAGACATACTCTCAGTTCCGGGACTAATCGTGTTGCAAATATTTGCACTTTCTCCGATTTCGTGACGTGTTTGACTAAGTGAGGGTTCCATACTGGCGCTGCATATTCCAGTATAGGCCTTACGTACACGGTGTACAATGTCGTGAATGACTCTTTACTCAGATGTCTAAACGCCAATCTCAGGTTTTTCCAATCTCCCATATGCTGCAGCAGTTTTTTTGATTGATGTGTGCCTCAGAGGACATGTTCGTTATAATGCTTACCCCAAGATCCTTTTCTTTAATTAACGTTTGCAGCTGTTGGCTTCCTAACCTGTACTCCGTATGCGGTCTTCTGTGTCCTTCCCCAATATTCACACCTTACACTTACTGGGGTTTAAACTCCAGGAGCCATTTGTCGGACCACAACTTGTAGTTTGTCCGATCCCCTTGTAATCTTAACTGATCCTCGCCACTTGTATTCTCCTCATCAGTTTTACATCAAACAGCGAACAGGACACTTCTGAATCTATTCCTTCCACCATGTCATTCACGTATACAAGAAAAAAAGCACCGGGCCTAGGACTGAGCCTTGTGGAAACCCACTCGACACATTCGCCCACTCCGACACTTCAGCACGTACCAACGCTCGTTCTTTTTTTCCTGTCAGGTATTCCCTGATCCAATTCAGTACTTTCCCAGTTATTCCTGCCTGCTCCTCTAATGTTTGCACCAGTCTCTTGTGTGGTACTGTGTCAAAAGCCTTCTTGCAATCTAAGAAGATGCAATCTACCCATCCCATCCCTTTGTGTGTGTGTGTGTGTGTGTGTGTGTGTGTGTGTGTGTGTGTGTGTGTGTGTGTGTGTGTGTGTGTGTGTTGTTTCGGTGCTGCGAAGAAAACACAAAATTAGATTGCATTTAAGGTTTTAATATATACGGAGAGCTGAGATCAGGTCATTCAAGGCTGTTGGATAAAATATTCTGTTCTCACTTGCCACTTGCACAAGCTGAGCAACTATTGGGCTAATTCAAAGATTTCTTACAAACCGTCACGGAGTAAAACAGAAAATATTATCACACAAAGTTAAGATATCCTGCACCTGATAAAAAAAAAAATTAGAAATTAGCGATGTCAAGAGAGACGTTAACCACCAAAGTTGATCTATGAATTTCCAACACCACTGACCACACGCTTGAAAAGAATTAATATATGGAATCATTGTGTTTTCGCTGATTCACTTATTAGGAAAAACAAAAGAAGTACTGGGGAAGAGGTGTACTGGGGAAGAGGTGTACTGAGGATGAGGTGTACTGGGGAAGAGGTGTACTGGGGAAGAGGTGTACTTAGGAAGAGGTTTACTGGGGAAGAGGTGTACTGGGGAAGAGGTTTACTGGGGAAGAGGTGTACTGGAGAAGAGGTTTACTGGGGAAGAAGTTTACTGGGGAAGAGGTGTACTGGGGAATGGGTGTACTAGGGAAGAGGTATACTGGGACAGAGATGTACTGCGATACCTGAGGATTGCTGTGTATGAGGGAGATGAGATCTTGCCACATGGAAGGCTCGTAGTTGACACGATAATAACCGTACTGACCTACGTTGAACTTGATCCACGATGCACCGGAAGGTTTCCTTAAAGTCACTGTTAAAGCACAGAGTAAAATTAAACAAATTTAATTCATTGGAAGAAATAAAATTTTCCTTTTATTATCACAGTGAAAAAATAAGAATACACTGGAGGCACAAATATATATTTTCTTCTTACCTTTTGTTTCGCTGTGATGGTTTAAATATACACAAAACACATACACACACAGGCGAGGCCAGGAGCTGTGAATCAACCCCTGCAACCTTAATTAGGTGAGTTCACAAATACGCAGGAGGCAGGGGCCACGAGCTATGAATCGACCCCTGCAACCAAAATTAGGTGAATACACACACACACACACACACACACACACACCCCACACACACCACACACACACCACACACACACACACACACACACACACACGAGACTAGTCCCGGAGCTAAGGGGCTCGCTCTACGAGGAGAGGTTAAGGGAACTCCACCGACCACACTGGAGGACAGGAGGGACAAGGAAAACATGATAACACATAAAATACTGAGAGGAATCTACAAGGTAGACAGAGACAAGATGTTCCAGAGATGGTACACAGCAACAAGGGGTCACAATTGGAAGTTGAAGTTTCAGATGAGCCACAGGGATGTTAGAAAGTATTCCTTCAGTCATAGAATTGTCAGGATGTGGAATAGTCTGGAAAGTGAGGTAGTGGAGGCAGGTACCATACATAGCTTTAAGAAGAGGTACAACAAAACTCATGGAGGAGGGAGAGAGTGGACGTAGTGGCGACCAGTGAAGAGGTGGGGCCTGGAGCTATGAATCGACTTCTGCAACCACAATTAGGTGAGTACATACACACACTTATCTTATAGTATCCCCCCAGGCCACCCACCTCCATAAACCCCCACAATACAGTGTTAGAGAGCAAACTGATGGTGTGGTACACCAGCGCTAATGGAATAACGAATAAGTGGGAGGAGTGGCACAAAAGAATCACCGAGGCATCACCAGACAGAAAACAAGCTCTCAGGAATGATAACAAATGCCATCTTTCCAACCATATATCAAACCCTCAGGAAAGACAGAGTGAACAGGAGGGGGGAGGTGGAGGAGTGGGACTGCTCATCAAAAACCAATGGGATTTTGAGGAGCTGGAGAAAGAAGACAGAGGAGAAGCAAGGAACTATATAATAGGAATGCTTCAGAGTGGAGATCCCAAGGTGGTGATTGCAGCGATGTGTAACCCACCACAGAATAGCAGAAGAATAGCTGAAGTGGCCAGAAGCGCTCATGTGACCAGGGCAAAGCTACTGGTTATTGGTAACTTAAATCACAAAGATATCGACTGGGAAAATCTGAAGCCACATGGGGGCTCAGAAACGTGGAGGGTTAAGATGATGGAAGTGGTACTGGAAAACCTCATGTACCAGCACGTAAGGGACACTACCAGAGAGAGAGGAGAGGATGAACCAGCAAGACTGGGCCTAGTATTCACCTTGAGTAGTGCAAATATTGCGGACATCACATATGAAAGACACCACGTGACCAGTGACCAAGTGGTTCTGAGCTATGAATGCAAAGTAGAGTTACAAGTGGAGAAGGAAGCAGGAAGGCAGGACGAATGAAGCCAAACTACAAGAAAGGGGACTACACAGGCATGAGGAATTTCCTGCACGAGGTACAGTGGGAAAGAACTAGCAGGGAAATCAGTAAATGAGATGATGGAATATGTGACAACAATATGCAAGGTAATGGAGGAAAAGTTTGTGCCCAAGGGCAATAGACATAATGAGAAGGCCAAGGATGAGACCTTGGTTCACCCAAAGGTGTAGAGAGGCTAAAACCAAGTGCACTAGAGAATGGAAGAAGTACAGAAGGCAAAGGACACAGGAGAATAAAGGGGGTAGTCAAAGAACAAAAAATGAATATGCACAGGTAAGGAGGGAGGCCCAACGAAAATACGAAAATGACATAGCAGCAAAAGCCAAATCTGATGCAAAGCTGCTGTACAGTCACATCAGGAGGAAAACAACGGTCAATGACCAGGTAATCAGGCTGAGGAAGGAAGCAGGAAAGTTTACAGGGAACAACCATGAAGTATGTGAGGAGCTCAACATGAGATTCAAAGAAGTACTGACAGTGGAGACAGAAAGAACTCCAGAAAGACAGAGAGGTGGGATACACCAACAAGTGCTGGACACGATACGTACAACCGAGAAGGAAGTAAAGAGGCAGCTAAGCGAACTAGATATCTCAAAGGCAATGGGGCCGGATAACATCTCCCTGTGGGTCCTGAGAGAGGGAGCAGAGGCGCTCTATATACCACTAACAACAATCTTCAACACATCTAGCGAAACAGGGCGACTACCTGAAGTATGGAAGAGAGCAAACATAGTCCCAATTTTTAAAAAAAGAAGACAGACATGCAGCATTAAACTACAGACAAGTATCACTGAAATATACTGTATGCAAAGTCATGGAGAAAATTATCAGAAGATTGGTGGACCACCTAGAAAGGAATGAGCTTATAAACGACAACCAGCACGGATTCAGAGACGGGAAATCCTGTATCACAAACCTACTTCTAGAGTCATGTGACAAGGTGACAGCAGTAAGACAAGAGAGAGAGGGGTGGGTAGATTGCATTTTTTGGACTGTAAGAAGGCTTCTGATACAGTTCCACACAAGAGATTTGTGCAAAAGCTGGAGGACCAGGCAGATATATCAGGGAAGGCACTGCAATGGGTCAGAGAATGCCTGACGGGAACACAGCAGCGAGTCATAGTACGTGATGAGGTGTCAGAGTGGACGCTTGTGACGAGCGGTGCTGTTTCTGGTATATGTGAATGACATGAAGGAAGGAATAGACTTAGAAGTATTCCTGTTTGCAGACGATGAGAAATTAATGAGAAGAATTCACTCAGAGGAGGATAAGGCAGGACTACAGAGGGATCTGGACAGGACTGCAGGCCTGGTCCAACAACTGGCTCCTGGAGTTCAACCCCATCAAGTGCAAAGTCATGAAGATCGGGGAAGGGCAAAGAAGACCACAGACAGAGTACAGTGTAGGGGGCCAAATACTACAAACCTCGCTCAAGGAAAAGGATCTTTAAATATGTATAATACCGAGAACATCTCCTGAGGCGCACATCAACCAAATAACTGCTGCAGCACATGGGCAACTAGCGAACCTAAGAACAGCATTCAGGCATCTCAGTAAGGAGTCGTTCCGGACCCTGTACACCGTGTACGTCAGGCCCAAATTAGAGTATGCAGCTCCAGTTTGGAATCTACATCTGGCCAAGCACGTCAGGAAACTAGAGAAAGTACAAAGGTTTGCAACGAGACTAGTCCCGGAGCTAAGGGGGCTTGTCCTACGAGGAGAAGCTAAGGAACTCGACCTGACGACATTGGAGAACAGGAGGGACAGGGGGGACATGATAACGACATATAGAATTCTGAACGGAATCGACAAGGTGGACAGAGACATGATGTTCCAGAGATGGGACACAGCAACAATGGGTCACAGTTGGAAGTTGAAGACACAGACGAGTCACAGGAATGTTAGGAAGTATTTCTTCAGCCATAGAGTTGTCAGGAAGTGGAATAGTCTGGAAAGCGAGATACTGGAGGTAGGTACCATACATAGCTTTAAGAAGAGGTACAATAAAGCTTATGGAGCAGGGAGAGAGTGACCTGGTAGCAACCAGTGAAGGGGCGGGGCCAGGAGCTATGAGTCGACCTCTGCAACCACAATTAGGTGAGTACAGTTAAGTGAACACACACACACATTGAAGATAATAAATGTAGTCTCAATTTTTACGAAAAACAGATAGGCAGGCAGCATTAATTTAAACTACAGACCAGCGTCACTGACATGTATAGTATGGGAAGTTGTGGAGATTATGAGAAGAGTGGCTGAGCATCTAGAAAGGAATGAGCTGATATACGATAACCAGTGCAGTTTCAGGGATAGAAAATCCTGTCACAAACCTACTAGAGCTCAACGACAAGGTAACAGAAGTGAGACAGGAGAGTAAGGGATAGGTAGACTGCATTTTCTTGAACTGAAAGAAGGTCTTTGACACAGAAAAGGTAGAGCAGCAGGCAGGAATAAGAGGAAAATCACTACAATGGATCAGGTGTCATAATGGGTGCATGTGACGAGCGGGGTTCCACAAGGATCAGTCCTGGGGCCTGTGCTGTTTCTTGTATGCGTTAATGACATGACAGAAGAGATAGAGTCAGAGGTGTCCCTACTCGCAAATGACGTGAAAGTAATGAGGAGAAAACATGTGAATGTGGACCAAGAAGGGCTACAAAGGGATCCGGACAGGCTACAAGCCTGGTCTGACAAATGGTTCCTGGAGTTTGACCCCTCCAAGTGCAAAGTTATGAAGCTTGGGTAAAGACAAAGAAGGCCGCAGACAGAGTACAAGCACAGGAATTAAAGGCTGCAAACTTTTCTTAAGGAAAAGGATCTTGGGGGTGAGCATTGTACTGAGCACATCCTCTGAGGTGCACATCAACCAAATAACCGCTGGAGCACACTGGCGCCTGGTAAATCTGAGAACAGCGTTTCGACATCAAAGTCAGAAGTCATTCGCTACACTGTACACCGTGTACATTGGGCCCATATAGCAGTATGCAGCATCAGTATGGAACGGAAACCTGATCAAATACGTCAAGAAATTAGAGAAAGTGCAAAAGTTTGCCTCAAGACTAGTCCCGGAGCTAAGAGAAGAGGTTAAGGGAACTCATCCTGACGACACTAGAGGATAGGAGGGATAGGGAAGATATGATAACGACGTATAAAATACTAAGAGGAATTGACAAGGTGGGTAGAACCAGAATGTTTCAGAGATCGGACACAGGAACAAGGGGACATCACTGGAAGTTGAAAACTCAGAAGAGTCACAAGGATGTTAGAAAATATTTCTTCAGCTCTAGAGTTGTCAGGAGGTGAAACAATCTGAAGAGTGAAGTAGTGGAGGCATGATCCATACATAGCTTTAAGAAGAGGTATGATAAAACTCTTGGAGCAGGAAGAGAGTGACCTAATAGCGACTAGAGAAAAAGCTGAGCCAGAAGCTGTGACTCCACACCTGCAACAACATATAGGTGAGATGAGTACACACACACATTACATATATGTTGAGACACAAAGAAACACAAAATTATGTTGGTGGCCTCACACTTGTCCATGTTCCTGTAGAACCACAATTGTTGTCGTGTAGACACATCACTGATGAATGTGACGGGTATGTCCCAGGTGTAGCCGTAAGGTGAGTCGTCACGACTCTCAGCCTCAGGGTCACTCAGGAACCTCATTTGTCGTACCTCCAGCTGCGTCTGTCTCAGGGATAAAATATATTTATTAACTCAGTGTTTTTCTTCCTGGCGGTTATTCAATTATCAAATGGAAGAAATGTTGCCTTTCAAAGTATATCTTGTGTGTAAGTACAAGATGTTATTTGGACTAGTAACTCCGAAGAGGTAATAACCCAGAATAATGGAAGAAGTGTAGCATATTTCCATTAAGGTTCTTTTTAATGTCCTTTACTAAGGACACGACCGATAACAGTTGACTAAATCATAGTTCTCTGTTTTACCGCTACATATCACGTTACTTACCTCTTACTTGTTTACTCATACAAAATTCAGTCTGGGTCCAGTCGGGTGTCAGCCAAATGCGCTACACTGCGCTACACTGCGCTACACTGCGCTACACTGCGCCACGAGGTACAAAGTATTCTAAGATGTCGGAGTGTGTGTCGTGATGTATGGGCAAATCTTTCATCTGTTGCCCTTGTTCATTTAGCAGAAAATAGACTCCCTGGCGTTAGTCAACTGTTAACAGTTCTTGTTGTGTTTTTTCTTCTAAATATACTGCATGTAACTGACGCTGTAAGTTAATGGTATACAATATGGTAGAAGATGATGTGGAGAAGTTAATGTTATCAGTCTGTCATCCTAGGAACAAGATGACAAGTCGCGCTGCGAATTGCAAAGCAATTCAGAAAGGTGAGGTGTAGCAGCTTGTCTTGAAGACTACGTTGCTCATCACCAACTAAAAGGCTGAGGAACTGATTGCCTCGTCTTTTGTACATAGTTCTACAGTCTTCCCGTTATGTCCTTGAATTTGTATTGATAAAGCCACTGGATGGCGAAGCGTCTACAAATAAAGATACCCAGATATTGCACATGTGTCTAATTCTTCCTCAAGGTTATGTTATGTCTAGTGCAGAGCTTGTGTACTCTCACTGGATTATGGTCGTAATAATTATAGCCATAAACAGCTGAGTGTGTCCATCACTCCTTCCTCCTTATTTTCCTTCCTCAACCTCCTACTTCTTCAACATCCACTCTTCTACCTCCTCCATTATCCTCTTTTCCTTCTCAGTTTCCTCCTCCACTTCTTATTTATTCTCAACTCACTATTTGTCCAACCTATTATTTTTTCCTTTTACTCATATATTTATCCCCCTTTGTCACCTCCATTTCCTTTAATGTTAATTCCCTTCTTTGCGAGAATCTTCTTTAAGGATTCATCTTTATTAAACAAATATATGTAAATAATCTTTAAACTATGACTCAAGGATCAAGAATAGGAGCTAATCTATGAATTATTTCTTGTATATGAAAAGAGTCCTCAGAGCCCACTTGTTACTTCAGAGACTCAATGAATTAGGAGGTATGACCCAAGGAACAAGAGCTAGAGCCTCAAGGAACTTAAAAAAAAACTCATGTTAGGCCAGGAGCTAAAGCTCCCCTGTAAGTTTCCTCCTCCTCACTTTGCAAAAAAATACCCCTACTGAGCAGATATCCCAGGAACTAGAGCTCATTCTCCCTCTACTCCGTTCCAACCACTTCTCATCAACTCTTCCCCTAAACCTCAGTCACATTAGCCATGACCCTCTTGCACTCTTCTGTCCATCAACTATCTTCTATCCTCCAACAACTCTCCCCAACACTCCCCTCGATCTGGAATTCCATCAGTTCATTAGGAGTCTGCTCTTCCACTCCTTACCACTCAGGAGACCTGCGGCCACTACCCTCCCAAGCGAGATAGGGTTGTGGAGGTGGTGATGATGATGGTGGTGGTGGTGGTGGTGGTGGTGGTGGTGGTGGTGGTGGTGGTGGTGGTGATGATGGTGATGGTGGTGATGATGGTGGTGGTGGTAGTTATGATGGTGGCGGGGGGCGCGGGTGGGCACTGCACGCCCAATCACGGACCAGACAAATCTAACAGACCGACCTCCAAGATCGTTCCTTGCATACTGCACTTACTTGAGAGCACCTCACGGACCATACCCAACAGATTCGCCATTTCAAGGTTCTCGTCTGCCTTTGGAAACCTTGAAGGGGTTTCCCCTATACAAACACTGATCACAATAAGTATCCCGAAATGTAGTGTGTCTTTTCAAATCAGGACAATATCGATACAACAAACAATAAGTATCCTAAACCATACCCCCGGCCGGGATTGAACCCGCGGACATAGAGTCTCAAAACTCCAGCCCGTCGCGTTAGCCACTAGACCAGCTAGCCACAATAAGATTCATCCAACTAGGTATATTTCTACACCATAGGAAAGTTAGCACAGGCACCTCTGTGACCACAAATGCAAGTTTTTACAGACGAATCTCCAGCTAGCGTGGCCGTGACGAACTCTAGCTCAAGTTCCTTCACTGCCGTCAACATGACTCAAGAAATCGTAATGACACGATTGCAAATAAACCATACCCCCGGCCGGGATTGAACCCGCGGTCATAGAGTCTCAATCCCGGCCGGGGGTATGGTTTATTTGCAATCGTGTCATTACGATTTCTTGAGTCATGTTGACGGCAGTGAAGGGACTTGAGCTAGAGTTCGTTACGGCCACGCTAGCTGGAGATTCGTCTGTAAAAACTTGCATTTGTGGTCACAGAGGTCCCTGTGCTAACTTTCCTATGGTGTAGAAATATACCTAGTTGGATGAATCTTATTGTGGCTAGCTGGTCTAGTGGCTAACGCGACGGGCTGGAGTTTTGAGACTCTATGACCGCGGGTTCAATCCCGGCCGGGGGTATGGTTTATTTGCAATCGTGTCATTACGATTTCTTGAGTCAATAAGTATCCTAAAATGTAGTGTGACTTTTCATATCAGGACAATATGGATACAGTAAGCATACTTCGGCACTCCAGGTTAGACAGCCCCCACCTGGTCATGAGAGGAGGTGGTGATGTTGATAACTGGGAAACCCATTTGTCGTGTCCAGGTGTCCATGATGCTGCTGATGTCCAGCTTGGTCTCCAGCACCTCCTCCAGCTCCCTCCACAGGTCCTGTGTGACAGCGTTGGCGAACTTGTAGCGTCGCAGGAAGTTCCTCACGCCCATACGAAACTGCTCCGAACCAATGAAGCTCTCCAGCATGCGCAGAACCGATGCGCCCTGCAGGGAAGACACAGGTTGCAAAATAAGGATAGATCAATTTTTAATACATTCTAAAACTGTATTATAAGAATGTTAAATTTTTAACAATATCGAAGTTAGGATAAAATAGTCCATCAATAGTAATAATGGTTATTAACAATGATTTTTGAAGAGGCGGAGGGATAAGCCAGTGGAAGTCCTCGGTCAGATGACCAAAAGCTCCAGTTTTGGGTCATCAGATGACTACGACCCGCGTCAGGAAACACTTGTCCTGTTTCCTGACAAACATCATACCTGCCTACCGTGATGAGTGTCACTGAGGTTTGAGGGGAAAAAGGCTCGTGAAATTGAAGGACACCCGACATCACAGTAGATGAGATGCTCTAATATAATAATAATAATAATAATAATAATAATAATAATAATAATAATAATAACAATAATAATAATAATAATTGTGGAGAAGTTTTCTCCAGGAGGGGAGTATCAGCTCCCTTCAGCCCCTTTCAGCCCTGAGGGTCCCAGCCCTCTCAGAAGAGGCAAGCTTCTTGCTTACTGCTATATCAAGTAATTGATCCCAGATGCAGTACGAGCATGTGACGTGGTCACGCGGCGCGGCCACCGCTCCTTGCAAGTGTCCAATGTTGCAAGTAGTTTAGTTTAATAAGAGACAGTCCATCTCTTACCTTAGCAGGACAATTAAGGAAAATCCTGCTCCCACTTTATTACCATGGTAAAGATAGTGTACATTGTTGTCTATGCTTAAGACAGCAAGAATTAAGCATTTTGCTTTGCTTCATAGTGGAAGTTTGGCAAGGAAGGGAAATGTACTAGGTCAGCTTTTCCTTTATGTGCTAGGGGCAGTGACGGTGTTGGAGGCTGTGAGGTCAGATTACTTTTGATCCTACTGGGACTCACACTGACGCCGGAATAACCAACAAAGAACACTGATCCACTCATTAGTGTGAACAAAGAAGTGTCTCACAGAACACAATAAACACAGAGAAGTGTGATCAGCTTCTTTAGTAATAAGATTGTGAATAAATTAATAAATCTTGATGAACAGTGTAACAACGAGTGTTGCGATCCAGCAGAGTGTAGTGCAACATTCTTCAAGGAACACTATTCTTCAATCAAGTCAACGGATATCCAGGTGCAACTATGGGTCAGCTACAAATACCCAGGTACGTTTAATGATCATAACATTGACAGGTCAGCTGCACAGCGGATATCATGCTAAGTTCATTACACTACCAATACCTGGTAAATTACAGGCCATCCAGCCTACAAAAATAAGTTTTCCAATCAGCAACCAGTTACTGATATATGTTGACATAATACCCCCTAGGGGTAATTTATTTCTAATATATTTCCTTTACAGCCTGTTGAGAAGTGGCTACGACAGCTTCTCAAGACCTCTCCTGCAGGGGTGGCTGTGTAGGCGAAAGCTGTCTATCAAGCTAAGTTCCCCCTATATTTAATCTTTAACCTTAGTTGTACCATTTCTCAACAATAATAATAACAATAATAATTTTCATTTCTTAAGTACCTGTACAAAGTAAACAGGCTTAGCTGGCATAAATGATATATTACTATATTGAAAGCAGCTTGTTATGGTGAATATTTCAGGCAAATTAGGTAAATTTTGTCCCAGGTTGAGACAAACACCAGTCGACTAACACCCAGGTACCTGTTTTACTGATAGGTCTACCTGGAGTCTACCTGGAGGGCATTTCGGGGATCGACGCCCCTGCTGCCTGGTCCATGACCCGGCCTCCCGGTGGATCAGGGCCTGATCAACCAGGTTGTTACTGCTGGCCACACATATTCCAACGTACGAACCACAACCCGGCTGATCCGGCACCGACTTTAAGTATTACTCGAATCAGCCAGGCTTCCCTACTTGAAGGCAGTCTTAGGGGCACGACTTTAGGATATACTACCCCTATTAATGCATTTGTGTGAGAGGCATGTCTGAATGAAAGTCTTGGGCCCCGGACACCTATGGTGTTTTCTTTTAGTGTACCAATGGTGCCCCTACTTTTCATTGGGGGTATTTCGCATCACCTACCCAGTCTCTTACTTTTGTAGGGAGGATTTCTGATGGCAGATTCGAGACCATTCCGATCTAAGAGCTTCCAAGTGTAGATTATGATATATCTCTCTCGCCTGTGTTCCAGAAAGTACAAGTCAAGTGCTTCCAAGCGTTCCCAGTAGTTGAGGTGTTTGATGGAACTTATATGTGCAGTAAAGGTTCTTTGTACGCTCTCTAGATCTGCAATTTCACCTGCTTTGAACGGAGATGTTAATGTGCAGCAATTAACATCTCTTAGCATCTCTTGTCTTGAATGCTCTCATTGTCCATCCTATCATTTTCTTTGCAGTTGTGATCGTGACACTGTTGTAATCCTTGAAAATGAGAACCTCACACATTACCACTCCCAGGTCCCTCACATTATTTTACCGCTCTATTGTATGATCAGAGTTTGTAGTGTACTAAGTTCTAGTTATAATCTCCAGTTTTCCATAACGGTGTAGTTGGAATTTGTCCTCATTGAACATCATAATGTTTTCCATTGCCCATTGGAAAACTTGGTTTATATCTTCTTGGAGGTTAACCATGTCCTCAACAGATGACAGTCTCGTGCAGATCATCGTCTGTGGAACGCGACTTGTTACAGATCCCCACTCAGATTTAACCCCATTTATGGACACTCTCTGCTTCCTGTCCGTGAGCCATGACTCGATCCACGAGAGCACTTTTCCCCAAAGGCCATGAGCTGTCACTTTCTTTAACAGTCTTTGGTGCGGAACTCTATCAAAAGCCTTACTAAAATCTAAGTAAATAATATCAAATTCTTTATCGTGGTCAACAGCCTCAAAAGCTTTACTGAAGAAAGTTAATAAATTAGTTAGACAAGTCCGGCCTCTTGTGAATCCATGCTGAGTATCATTAATCAAGCTATGCTTATCGAGATGGCTTCTAATAATCTCAGCTATCATTGACTCTAGTAATTTGCCTACAATTGAGGTCAGGCTTATTGGGCGGTAATTTGACGGTAATGACTTGTCCCCTGTTTTAAAAATAGGAATTACATTAGCCATCTTCCACATATCAGACACTACACCTGTTTGAAGAGATAAATTAAAAATATTAGTTAATGGTTCACAGAGTTCCATTTTGCATTCCTTAAAAACCCTTGAAAAAACCTCATCAGGACCCGGTGACTTATTTTGCTTCAGTCTGTCTATCTGCTTCACAACCATTTCACTAGTGACTGTGATGTTACATAATTTATCTTCTGGCCCACTATAAAAATTAATTACTGGAATATTGTTAGTGTCTTCCTGTGTAAAAACCGAGAGAAAATAATTATTTAAAATCGAGCACATTTCATTCTCTTTGTCAGTAAGATGCCCATAGTTATTTTTAAGGGGTCCTATCTTATCTCTAACTTTTGTTCTATAGACCTGGAAAAAACTTTTTGGGTTAGTTTTAGAATCCCTAGCAACTTTAATTTCATAGTCCCTTTTAGCTTTTCTTATCCCCTTTTTAATGTCCCTCTTAATGTCAATATACTGATTCATAAGATGACCCTCACCTCTTTTGATACGCCTATAAATTCCTTTCTTATGCCCTAGTAGATATTTCAGCCTATTATTCATTCATTTTGGGTCATTTCTATTTGATTTAATTTCTTTATACGGGATAAACGTTCTTTGAGAAGCATGCATGGTGTTCAGAAAACTGTCATATTGATAGCTCTCTTCGTTACCCCAGTCAACAGATGATAAGTGTTCTCTAAGCCCATCGTAATCTGCTAAGCGAAAATCTGGGACTGTTACTGAGTTATCCCTACTATCGTACTTCCATTCAATGCTAAAGGTAATTAATTTGTGGTCGCTAGCACCGAGTTCCTCTGAAATTTCTAAATTATTAACAAGGGATTCATTGTTTGCCAGAACTAAGTCAAGCAGGTTATTACTCCTTGTAGGTTCTGTCACAAACTGCTTCAAAAAACAATCCTGAACTACTTCTAAGAAGTTGTATGATTCTAAATTCCCAGTCAAAAAATTCCAATCAATATGACTAAAGTTAAAGTCTCCTAGAATTACTACATTATCGTGTCTTGTGGCCCTAACAATTTCCTCCCATAGTAGTCTCCCTTGGTCCCTATCTAAGTTTGGGGGACGGTATATCACACCTATAATCAATTTTTCATGCCCCTCTGAAAATTCTATCCAAACAGACTCTGTATGTGTTACTTCAGACTTAATACCCGTTTTTATGCAACAGTTCAAGCGATCTCGGACATACAATGCCACCCCACCCCCCTTCCCGATACTTCTATCTACTTGGAACAATTTAAAACCCTGAATGTGACATTCCGCAGGCATGTCCCGATTTTTCATATTGAACCACGTCTCAGTTAAGGCAAATGCATCAATGTTACCTGCACTAGCAACTAGTCTCAACTCGTCCATCTTATTCCTAGCACTACGACTATTTGTGTAATATATATTTAAGGACCCTCCTTTCTCTTTACCCTTCCTGCTCCTTTCTGTTATTCTGCTAAACCTATTACTGTCTTTGTCAATTAGTGCCACTGGCTTTCCAATATCCACCTCATTGTGCCTATTACTGAGACGCCGACCGATTCCACCAATGAGAGTCCACCAGCACCTGCTTCCACCTCCGTCACAACGGACCAATCAGACGCCTCACCTCAAACGTCTCAGCCGCCAGCCAAGAAGGTTAAAACACAAGAGCCTTGGGATGCATCCCTACGTGCTACCACTACCGCCACTCCTTCACAAGAAGTCCATTACTTGCCTGGTGTATATTTCTACACAACCAACCAGAATGAGAACACAATGTACACTCCAGAAATTATTCAACGCCTCCACAACGGGACAGTCAAGTTTCACCTGCGACTCAACTCGATCATTCACCACTGAATCCCTGATCAACCTACTCTCAAAAAGTCACCGCTTTGTGGCACTCGACTACACCACAA